TTTCTTGGCAGGTGTGTTGAAGATCCTATGACATTTACATGTAGTTTCAACATTGCTTTTGAGTTCTTTTCTGAGAAGACGACTACGCATCATTGGCATAAGTAAGGCAAATATTCTTAGCTATGAACATTATTTGAATCCAGACCAAAGAAAAATGAGAAGCAATTACTATTTGTCATTGGTCTCTCTAGCTCTTTTGATTTATATAAAATGTGTTTGTAAGGCTATACCTTTTGTATAAAAATCAACTATTTTGGTCAAACAAAGTAGAAGACTATAGAGACTTGAAAGGAAGGATGCAGGACACCAGTAAGTCTATCCTACCTTGTCTCGCTGGTGCCGGGTGAAATCGGTGTCCCGTGTAGCGGACGCACAAAGAAGAACAATTGGACGAGCAGCGGTAAATCCAAGTAGACATGAGCCCAGATTTGGCGGCAATTCCAGGCCATGGTTCCAAAACCTCAACTACCTTCAACCTTTGATGAAACTATCCACGGATACCTTCAAGGAATCTGGCGCACTGTACGCTTTGTTATCCTACTCTAACGGACATCCATCAATCGATCTGACTCAGTTGCCGACAATGCCAGTGATGAGCTGTATCTGTGCGTGAAGGAAAGGATCATCCTCACTCTGCCACGCTGCAGCTTCAGAGGATCCGCTCTGCATCCGCAGAAGGCCGAGGGAGGCTTTTGAGCAGAAGGATATAAGCTCCTGCACCCGGAGGATTCACTCCGCGGTCGTACATATCCCCGGAGTCAAGCGGCAGGCGGAACTTTCTCGGCGGGGTTACGGTGGGGAGACTCTCGGTGACGGCACGGGAGCGGTGTCAGCCCGGCGTCGTCAGGAGGAGAGGTGCCGTGTCACAGGACGGACGGGTCACGTGCAGCTGATGTCGCGCCTACTGACACGCGGAGGATCCGCCGGATTCGCCAGGAGATTGCATCCTCTACGACATAATCCCCCGCGCGCCGCATCTCTTATAAACGGGACGGGCGTTTTGATATACAGGGCATCAAATAAAGTTAGTCACGGACTGACCCCAGGGTCACTTGGCCTGGAATACTAAGCTTGGTTTGCTCTAATAACGTAACCGATTCTGTCATGGTGGCTGAGACACACCTTCTACAGAGTGTCATGTAAGGGCTTTGTGGATAATTATCATAATATTCATTACTACGTGTGCCCCCCTCCCCTCAGAGTATTAGTTCGAGTAATGAACCATGAGAAAGGGCTTCGCTATAGCCTGTTACAACTTTTTATTGAAGTGTTGAAGTGTATTCAACGCGTAAACATTTCCAAATAATTATGCTATGGCAATATCCAATATCCATGGTCACAACTCATAGAAACTGAACCATTTCGTTTAGGCGGAACCTGTTAAGCTCGACCGATTACTAAAACAAATCCAATGTAGTGATTATAACATCACCACATATATAATATAATGCTTAATTCATGAAAAATCCATCCCTCTCACAGTTTGGTCTGGCCGTACTTAGTTCCCAAAGCGAAATTGTTGTTTGTTGGACTAGTCTTGTTCAGAGAAATGAATGAGAGAAATGAAGTTTTCTTTTCTTTTGCATTACTTTTTAGCTGTTCAAAATATCTATTTATTTTAGCCTAGACTCTGCCTTATCTCTGAAATTATATTACGACGTTACGACCAATGATAAACAACGATTGGTTTGACTTTTGTTTCAACTTTTGTGACAGCGACCTGAGATTGCTTTGCAAAGCTTACATCTCATCCCCAGAATACCTCAGAGTTACAGAAATCCCCAACAGACGTCCCTCACCCATTTTCGCCGTGTGATGTTGAGGACATTATTCAATTTCGCTCTTATAATTTGGTTGGCTCCAAGTGTTACTTTTTTGTGGGCGTTTATGGCGTGTCTCAACTGGATCGGAAAAACTCTGATCAATCATAAGGGCGGTTCAGCGGCCGGGGAAGCGGAAATCGAAGTTAGTGTGCACGGCGGGGCGATACAGGTGCGGCCTGATGGTCCTCAGGAGACACCCGGTAATCTCACGGCTGCCACCGGGACGAATTCGGTGCCAACCGCGGGGGACAAACACTCAATGAAAAATTAGTCTGTGTAACAACCTTCGCTTCGGTGTCCAGAATGAAGTTACTGCCCATCTGATAGACTGTAAGACAAATAAATGCTCAATGCAGAAATTAGTCTGTACATTAATAACCTTCGCTTCAGTGTCAAGAATGAGCTACCATGCATCTGATAGTGTAAGAAAAACGCTAGCTCATTTCTTTGATAGCAACTTGTCTTGCTTTAATCCGAAATATTCTAACCCAGTCATCAGGTTTTCGGGCATCTTTATCATTTGGTCATTGACAACTAGTGGGACTGATACAGGCGGCCAATGGTTACAGGCGGCCAACATAAAGTCCCCCGTTCCCCACCGAATCTGCTTGGAGATTAATTGACAACAGCATATCGCCCTGTATTGCATTTCAGGTAACTCAGCACAAATTATACAAATTGTATGGTACGTGTAGAAATGCTTCTCATTCCAACTGAACTGTGTTCTTTAATCCGTTTTCTTCAGCGAACATTCTCCGTCACTTTTTGGCCTCACGCCTTTTTCGTTCTTAATAAGGACATCATCTGTTTCTATTCGATCACCACGTCAAGGCTTCCCCCACTTCAATACGTCGCGCAGGATCTAAAAGCATATCTAAAGAATCACCATTAGTTGTCATGACCACAGCTGGCAGTTTGACATGAGTGACTGCAGTACCTACCGTGGGATGATGGATGGCGCTGTCACCGCTGGGCCAAGTGCTGCAGTGGGGGAGGATTACAGACGTGATGTACGACGACGGAGACATGTTTTCTGGGAAACGCGGGGTCAGGTGAGGAAACCGTTTGAAAAGTCCAGAGCTTAGGGAAACTGACATTTGAAATGTTCAGCGGTTTCCAAAATGTGATCACCGTTAAAGGCATCCAATGCAGATTTTAGGGCTTGGAAACCCGATTTTTAGATTATTCTAGTCGCTTATCTACATAGTGAGTTGAAACCACATCATCCCAATAATGTATATTGACCCTCAAGGAGCAAAAATACACAAAATTCTGACGAAAAACTGTTACTGGAAGGGCCCTTGGCTGATTTTTAGGGTACCACCCGTAAAATAAAGGACTCATCTTGGGGCTTGTTTCTGCAGTTTTGAATATTCAAAGTAGGAATTACTAATTGAAATGTGCTAATGTGAAGCAGTATGTGTCAATATCATAAATATTGTCCTATTCAGAATATTCAAAAGTTTTGCAGCTCTGAAATCGCATTGAATGCCTTTAACCTCAGTCTTTTTAATTAAATTTAAAACAATATAAAGCATATACTCAGAAGCGTTTTATCTCTGAATTGAAACAGAAGCAGATATAAACAGAAACAGTCGTCATAGTTAAGTGGAAATTGAAATATCATCCGTGATAACGCTGATTAATATGTTAGGTACGCGGACCTGATCCACATTCATAATCCACGAACCTAGCTTAGTCATCAGAAAAGTGCCTTTGCTTCACTGTTACATTCCTGGATTATTGCGTCTCAAAACGAACTTCAAAGAACATTATTGATAATAATGGTTATGACATGAGTCATCGGTTGATACTTATTTTCAAGAAGGATCTCTTTGTTCTGAGTGAGAATCATGAGGAGGTTTGATCGCTGCTGGTATGTACTCGTGGCAGACATCTCATGCCCCTCAATATGGCCCCTGTGTAGCAGGATTACTCAACAACCAAGTCACTCCGATAACAACTTGGAACTCTGTCTTATGTTGGTACTTCTGTATGTTTTGCCACATTGTTTGTATCATCTGTGTGCAGTTTCTATGTACTATGTGTCCTCACTGCAAAGCATTGCTTAGCCGCTGAGGGGGCCACCCTGGTTAAAGAAAACAGAATAAAGAAAAATGCGTTTAATTCCGCAATAACGCGTAAACAATCGTTTTAATATGTCTATGTCCACGCACCAGTATGGATTTTATACTATCCGTGTCAAGGCATCAGCTTTTAGTTTATAGCAACAGTTTTATAGTAATCCCCTGGAGCTCTAGGTCTCACACCTGTTGACCCAGAATGGCCATATTTACACTAATGTGCTAATGGACCGAAGTGTATTGAGGTTAGACTCACTTAACCCCTTTTTGTGAGACAGGATTTTGCATGCTTAGATTCACATCACCTTCTGTTACGCTAAAATGTTTATAGACGCTTCAATTAGAAACGGTACAGTAACGTTTACGATTTTCAATTTCATTCAGTGCTTCCATGGTATATAAATACAGCCTTTGTGTGTTAACAAAAATGATTATTGATATGGATTGATGTGGTAATCGAAATGAAGCTAGTTGTAAGATAACAGACGTCAGTTATTCTATGGGTTAAGTAGTGTTTTGCTCCAAGTGATGTATGCTATTGCCTTGTTTTTCTTTGCAATCATCTTTTGCCTTAAATCACTGCTTGCAACCCATTTGTTTTAAGGCTTTCCTTTGTAGATCGGCATATGTTATAAAACTATTGATTAAAAACAAATAAACTGATATTTCGGACGCATCAAAGGTCATTGTATGGGACTACGTGAATTTCTTCGATAAATAATTTTATTCCTGGAACAAGTGTGTGATTGCCTGGAATATAGTTTGAGTACACACGCGTGTTATGTACCTAAAGATCCGGAAGGAAATACTAGTATGTCACACGTGGTCACATGTCACCTCTCTTGACAGAGAAGGCTGTAAGACTGAAACAATTAGACAGGCGTATGGGACACGACACAGCGTAAGGCCATAGCAAGTAAATTTTATAGATGACATCCTCCGCATACTCCAAATCTAATTGGGCAACAACTCAGAGCCTTGTCTTGTCTCCTCTCTTCATATTTATCTACCATCCACGTTCCCTGCATGGCAGCAGGCGTCTTTGTTCATTTTCGGCATGTTGACCACTGTCTCTTTTTTTTTCAAAATCCGGCGACAATTAATTTTCGTGCTGATGTCATCCATAAAAATTACTTGCTGTGTCCTAATTTCATATACAAGAAACTCAATATCTTCCAACAACCATGATAATTTATCAACATCATATCATGACACATAATCTACCTGGTATGAAATATCCAAAATTTTTGTTTAAAAAAAGATACATATAAAAGCTATTTCACCAGTGTGAACTTCTTACTTCTACATTTGCTTTTTGTTGCCCCAGAATATAACTTGCAACGACTATGAAATTATTAAATATTACTCATACCATTGTCTAACAAAACTCAACATCTACAGCAAAGCAATGATAGCCATCCATAATACAATATAGCCGTGCAGACGCAACCATTCAATCAGGGAGACAAAGCAGAATTGTTGCCATTTTCAAACACTAAAATGGTGCTGATCTTACATCGTATGCGTTGTATCGCATTCATTACATGCTACTACACTTTATTATAACAATACGTGCATGAATACCATACGTTTCCATGCGTTTGCATGGATTTGCCCGTGATTCTAACACTAGGCAGGGTAGATGTTCCTTCCCATTTCTGACACGAGTGGTAATCCTGTCTACTATGACAATGATATTCTACGCTATTATACTACATACTTTCACATATAATTTTCATATAAGTGAAAAAAGAATAATAATGATCATATCAATTGTCCAGATGCCAAGTTATCGTACGGTCCTGGTAGTTCCGCATTTCGCATATGTCAATAAAAAAAATGAAATTACGCCATTCGTGCAATATAAATTACTGCTGTTTTTCATTCCGGACATTGTATTACCCAATAATTCACCCCATAAATTGATTAATTGAGAGGTTGATTATTGGATTTTGCAATAAGACCTACAAAGGTTGTTCGTTATCCTCTGTCACGTCTGTCTCAGCAACCTCTCGATCGGGCTCCTGGTTTGAATCAGGGCCTGAAACTGCTGCTTCTTTGCGGCATGTGTTACTCGCATTCCTCTTGCTGCTGAGAATGAAAACCAAGGCCAGAACGCCCGGCAGGCTGGCCAGGCTGAACTTGAAGGCAGTATCGAGAGCGGCTGAAGCTTGGGTGACAGCCAGGACCCCCACGGCACACACCCCTGTTGTCAACACGATCAGCAGCGCCCCCTCAGCAAAGCAGGCGAACTGCACCACGGACGTGTGAGTGCGACGGTGCGCCACAAAACCAACCGCCAAACAACAACAGCTAATCAGTGTGAACACTGCAGCCGGTACGCCTAGCAGGATGGCGGCCTGGACAGAGTTGTCAAACCAGCAGCTACCCTGGTCATACTCGATAACGAAGTTAACCAAATCATCCAAAAGATCAACCACAAGAAGGGCCGTCACCACTAGAATAGCGAGAGCCCAGGGGCCGGCTAAATGGGCAGCGACCTTACACTTAGACAAGATCGCAGTGTCTGAGGCAGGCATGAGATAACGCATGATCACCGTCACAGTAATTAAAGCCACCAGAGAAAACAGGAGCTTCCCTACGGCTGAAACCTTACACATCACAGGGGAGGAGGAAACATCGCCAAAGATCTGACTACCCTGGGCCAGGACAAGCGCCGCTAACAGACTGATCTTCGCCACCACGGACGGCTTTAGGCGTTTTCTTTCCCTGACCAAAAAGCAGACGAACATCAGCAGAGAAAGCAAGGAGAGTATGTTTAAGACAATGTAAAGGTATTTTTGTGACAGATCAGCAAGTGCCTTTGATGCCGTTTGAAAGTTTAAGGTAATACCGAGATCCCGACATGTATTTTCGTATGGGTCATAGAGAGAGTCGTTCTCGCAATCTCCAACGGCTACTCCAACTGCCTTTGCATCCAATCTTATGGCTGACATTTCCGAAGATTGAGGTGCAAGGTGCAATAACCTCTGGTGGTTAGCGATTTCATCCAGTGACTTACAACTAAGCGCAGTATCAGCTGACGCCACTGTATCTATGTCATAGACACACCCTAAACAGTACCCATTGCGAAAAGGTTGGCCTGTTTGTTTCTGATACACCATAGCAGTGAGACGCCGGCATTCTGTCGCATTGCACATGCTGGATGAGCGCAGGGAAGGTTTGGGTTGTACCGGCGGGAAGCAGCGCCTTGCCGGGAGGGTGCTGCTGGGCCTGAAGGCCTGCCGGGTACACAGACCTTCGCCGAGGACGCCCGACAGGTTGGTGCGGACCCTGGCCTCATCCAGACCCGGCGTGCAGAGGACGTGGGTCTCCCAGGTCACCATTTCTTGAGCCTCGTTGCAGATCCCACAGAACATGTTTCTGTACGGCACACCTGGAATGGATGACGTTTCTATTTTAGTTAACAATTAATAAATGGCTAGTGCAGCATTAAGTCTGAAAGGTATATACAATTGAAACGATCGACAGCACTTTTTTGCATTGCTAGCTTATTATAGCTTGCAAACATTGCAATCATTGTTACCAAAGTACACTTGAGCTTTCTAATGAGATCAATGTTATCATTTACAAACGAAATATGATGAACAGTACACAGATAATCAGGTCATCGTATGTAGTTGATGCATACAAAAATCACATTCATTCAGCAAACGAAAATATAGTAAAAAGTTTAACTTTAACTTTATTTCAACACAAGGTTTCACAGAGATCAAATTTTCAACGATGAATGCGACAGTGGCCGTTGAAAATTTGATCTCTGTGAAACCTTGTGTTGGAATAAAGTTCAACTTTTTACTATGATTACTACCAACACAGATGAACTTTCGTAATAAACGACCGACCTGTTACGTTCTCCACAACTGGTACTTGTAGAAGGAGGTCATCGGTAGAGTCGCCCGGTGCCTCACACAGCGTTCGGACTCTGCTGGCAGGGTATCGTTCTGGACAGCTGGCGACCATCCAGTAGTGGTCAGTGGCATTGGGGGCATGGCCACACTGCAGGGGCTGTAGGTTTACCGTACATTGTCAGCGTGGATAATGTAATGAGATTCATGAATAGAAAAATCGTACCTACATTTGCAGATATTAAATGTGAATCATATTTTAGACATGACGCAAAATTCACATTAACTATAACTGGTCTCCAAACATTAAGTCTGTACATGATATACAGAAAGCTATCTCAGCATTTATGAACATTTTTATTTCAGATGATTAATACATGTTTACAGTTCATTTGTCGACGATGTCGGACGAATTTTGGTGCATTTAGCCAGCAATTGGCTTAGTGCACGGTGAAGAAAGCCGATCTCACTAACAATGGAGTGAATGGAGAACGGTTTGGGACTTTGGGACTTGGTGCAATTGATAGGAGTGTGCAAACAACCGTTGTGCAACTAATTGGCTTCTAGTGTGTAGTACACACCTCATGGACGTCCTGACGGCTGTTCCTAGCGCTGCCTGTGACACAGACGTCCACGTAGTCGACACAGCAGGTGTTGTTTGTTTTACAGCCGGCGTCACAGCCGCACGACACCGTACTAAAGAGGGCAGTCCTACCGCAGCGCCACCGGCACGAGTCCGGGTGGATGATGGCTGCTGGGCCGGGGCTGCCGGTCGTGTTGAGCGGTTCTACGTCGTCTATGTCTACACAGCAGTCCCGGAAGTCTCTGGAAGTGTTGAAATTTCTTTATGAAAATCTACTACATTTGTGGAAGGATTGATATAACAGGTGACTATCACCTTTTCAAAGATGTCAAACCTGAGATCAGACTGTAAGGCTTGAACCGCTCACACTGAGAAGAATCTCTCCTCATTTCGATAATTGCGGTGGGTTTTTAACGTGCGTGGGGCGTGGCTCCCAAACATGGGACCTCCATTCAACGTCCTATCCAAGGGACGTCCCTAACTAAAGCTAGGTACTCATTTACACCTGAGTCAAGTGACCCCTTGGGTCTGAGCTGAACACTCCACCGTTACGCCACACGATCCCTCAAATAATATAGCATTTGGTAAATTTGATATCCTCATCAACACACATCACAATCGTCCCTATGCAACAATGACTAAAATCAATACACGTTGTTAAGGAAGCAAGTTTCGTCTTAGAATACGTTACTTGTTTTAAAATCGCACTCAAGAAAAAGATAAACGACTTACCGGCATTGGATGTCACAGTGGCATCTCGTTTGTAACATGTCTATCTGCCCACCTCGATCAAGCATCGAGGTGCACATGGCCTTCTCTATACACGGGGCCACCGCAGGGTACTTCCGTCCTGGGTAATAGGAAAGTTACGGATGGTGTGTGTAGCTTTTACATGGTGTAAGCCAACGTGTTATAATTTAATTAGATACAACGATAGTTTGAAGATTTATTTCCATCAACATGGTTATTGGGCAGGGAATATTTACGGGAAACCAACTCCCCAAATGTACACTGAGTTGATTGGTACGTACTCGTTATCCAAAACTAAGCCGAATTTAAGAGTGAAGAGAGAGAGAATGGTTTATTGAAAAAATAAAAACCTTTGCAGCACCAGTGCTAAATTGCGGCTTTTTTACGCAAAGTCACAAACGCGTCCTTCAAATACATCATCAGGACTTACGCTTTATACATTACACATTACAAATAAGAGCCGAAAACCTAGAGGATCACTAGTACCTCGACTTAAAATTCTATTATAACATGCAGCAAAGGGTTATGGAATAATTTCTTTATCATGTAAAAATGTACTGAATTTCTAAACCTTAACGATCACATGGATTAAAAACAGGAAACAGCGAATACCAGTCGTTATAATCCATACATCAAATCAACCACTGATTTTATTATGATAGAACAGATAATCCGTACCGTATTCTTGGTTCAGGACGTCCCTGAAGAGAGGAGGTTCGGTAGGTCTCGGAGGGAGGAGCGGACCCCATCCGATCGGCCCGCCGCCCATGGATGCAGGTGGAGGTGGGCGCAACACGCCGAACTGTTCTCCGCTCTCCTGCTCGGAAATTCTTGTCGTCGGAGTTTCTATCGGGGCTTCAGTTGGTTCTCGTGGTGGCAGAAGAGGACCCCATCCAATTGCAAAACCGCCGCCAAACGCTTCGTCTTCGGCTTTGTCACCTTCGCTGGGGACGCTCGGAGTCGGAGCTTCTGCCGGGGCTTCATTTGGTTCTTGTGGTGGGAGAAGAGGACCCCATCCAAAGCCGCCGCCAAACGTTTCTTCTCCGGTCTTGTCACTTTCGTTGGGGACGCTCGGAGTCGAAGCCTCTGTCTTGTCTTCCTTTGGTTCTTCTGGAGGGAGAAGAGGACCCCATCCAAACCCGCCTCCAAACGTCTCCTCTCCGGTCTTGTCACCTTCGTTGAGGACGCTCGGAGTCGAAGCCTCTGTCTTGTCTTCCTTTGGTTCTTCTGGAGGGAGAAGAGGACCCCATCCAAAGCCGCCTCCAAACGTCTCCTCTCCGGTCTTGTCACCTTCGTTGAGGACGCTCGGAGTCGAAGCCTCTGTCTTGTCTTCCTTTGGTTCTTCTGGAGGGAGAAGAGGACCCCATCCAAACCCGCCACCAAACGTCTCCTCCCCGGTAAGCTGTTCTTCAGTCTTGTCTCCATCTTTTGAGACACTCGGAGTCTGAGCTTCTGCCGGGGCTTCAGTTGGTTCTTGTGGTGGCAGAAGAGGACCCCATCCAAAGCCACCTCCAAACGTCTCCTCTCCGGTTTTATCACCATCTTCAGGGACGCTTGGAGTTTGAACTTCTATCGTGGCTTCATTTGTGTCTTCTGGTGGTGGGAGGAGAGGACCCCATCCAAAGCCGCCCCCAAATGTTTCCTCTCCAGCTTTGTTCTCTTCTGTTGGCACGCTCATAATGTCTGTTGCTGCTTGGGGCTTATCTGTCCCGGTCTCCTCTTGAACTTCAAACTCTGGTGAGAGCGTTTGGAGTGGTCCCCATACCGGGAGAAAACCGTCAATATCATAGCTGTCTTCAGCTGTTTCTTTCTCACCGTCTTCTTGGTGATTTGACAAAGACGAGTTCTCTGGCGGGTCGAGAGGAAAGGAAGTGTTAAGCTTGTCGTCCGATACCGTCTGATCCACGGATTCTTCCGCTATGGTGTTCTGAGTCGTTGTCGAAACCACCCAGGTGTTCGTGTCGGTAGGCACCGGGGAGGGGTGCCCGGCTTCTTCGGGAGCAGAAGCGTCATGGTCCCCGGAGTTTAGACCGCCATCCAGCGGTACACCCGATTCGTCGATAGATTGCTCAGCGCCAGTAACTGTTCCAGCGGACGTTGTCAGTATTTCTGCCGGGCCTGTTGTAGGGGTGGTCCCCGGGGGCTCATTGGGAGAACCGCCGGTCACCAGAAGCAGGATGACGAGGGCAACAGCAGGGGAACCCAGCGTCTTAGACCACATGCTGGATACTACTGCAGATGAAGAAATGTAGTACAGGTTAGCGCTAGAAATTAATGTGGAAAAATGACGGCAAATCAAACATGAAGGAAATAAGATACGTTGCCAACACATTAAAAAAAAATTCAACATCTGCAAGCGCGCTTACTGTCAGTGTACCTGGAGACTAGGTAATCTGCTTTTTCTTCCGTCACTTGTTACTCCAGCAGTTTTGTCTTCATGTTTTGGGGCTTCTGTTTTCTCGTCCAACCCGAGTCGCAAATAAGAAGGACACATAATCTGTTTTTCAGCACCCGGTGTTACCGAGACTGTTCAATATGACGTCGTGTTAATTACATGGTATCACCGGTGTTGAATGATCGGGAAAAACACGACGTACGAGCGTAACACCTGCTGCGTGATATCAAAGCACGAGTTCCCAAGGATCAAAGCACGAGTTCCCATATAACAGGGCCATATCACAAGTCAACGTACTCTAGAATGCTGTAGCCTCTGTAGATTATCCTTAGGATAGAAATGGCTGTACACCGGACTTTATTCACGATTATAAAGTACATATAAGGCCGCACCGACTTAATTTTATGGATGACATTCTATGAAGATCCCCAAACTAGTGCGCGCGGGCGAATAAAAATCCGGACAAAAATTAAAAAAGCTAATAACAACAGGAATTCAAAGCTGGTTGTGAATTTGCGGCAGTACAGAGCGACGTATACGACAAGCCGGCACATGCTGGCTTTTTGCGGAACTTATGAATCGGTATATACTGAGTTCTTGAGTCGTAGAGCTTCGGTAGCCTGGGTGCCGTCCTCCAGAGTTACCACTGGCTCCCCATTGTCGCTAACTACCATGGACTACCCAGGCCTAGAGCCAGGCAAGACCCTCGGAGGACGTGATCTTTTTTTTTTTTTTTGAGAACAGGAGAAAATCGATGCGCGCGCGGATGTCATCCATAAAACTTAGTCGGTGTGGCCTAATGTAGGAAACATCAACACTGGGACCGGTGAGAACGTGTCGATTTACCTGTTGACGGAATCGTGCGGTGTCGTGATGTACCCTGCTCATCACACCTCCGGATTACTTCTAATGGTTTCAGTCTTACGTGTGTGTCTGTCGGAAGAGATTACTTTAATTACATTAACACTCACTGTTGTGTAAACATTGACGTGCGTCTCAACAGGTAGTATTACAGAAGGTGAGGCATTGTTACAGTACTTCCCGACTCACATACCGGTGATAATTTGTCGAACCAAAGCCTCCATTACATGAGACACAGCCCTGCACTATGTAATCAGACATATACCTTACTACATCTGTGCCGCATGTAAAGAAACAGGCGTTGCTTTGTTTATATGAGTTTATAAATCATGAACAGCAATCAATTTTGTGAACGGTAGGATGCAACATTTTTGTACATTTTTGTAAGAAGTGCAGTTAGCAATATTAGACAGGGAATGATGCCTTTCTGAACATTATAAATAAGGGCATTTCCGTCGTTAGACAAGTTTTTAATGAATCTCGTTAGTTCCCCCAATGGATGGACACCGTTCAAAGTGACCAACATTGAACGTGTGTTACCTTTATAAATTTAATATGATCCTTGATGTAAAAGTATTATCTAAAATACCTCAAGTGTCCGTAGGCAACAATTCTTCGTTCTTCTTCAAGTTTTAGATTTTGTAAATACATGTACACGGTTGTGTGTGTCGCGGGCTTAAAGTGCGCACATCTGCCCTGTTGGGCTAATCGCCAAGCAGATCCCTTTCAGTGGCAAAAAGACAATATCAAATTGGTCAGGCAGTATCCATTAGCCAGAGAAGGTCGCCGGCCACAGAAAGGGATCTCCTTGGACATTAGCCCAACAGGGCAAATGTGCGCACCATGTATTTACAAAATATAAAACTTCACGAAGAATTGTCGCCTATGGACACTTGTGGTATTTCAGATAATGTTGTTGTCAAGGCGAAGTCGGATGTGTAAGTCCACTGTCCACTCTCCAACTATATAGAAGAACTGGGTGTGGTGGAATAGATTGGCGCAAACGTCAATTTCATCAACGATTGTGATTGGTCAAATGTAGTGGTGTGAGCAATTAGTGGCTCATATCACCTATTCTGTTCTACAGGACCAAAGATAGCCATTTACTAGTCATATTCAGACTTGTACCCTTAAACCCACTGTGTGTGACACCCAAGATGAAGATATTACAATGCCGTTGTTACAAAGCGGAGAGTTTTTCCATTGTACATATTTCTGTGTTATCAACCATGTTAATCACGATGGTTTAAAATTGTAAATTTAAAGCAGTCAAGCGTTAGGCTTTAACACGTCATTCACACACATTCGACGCCATGTTTGCCTACAACGCCCTCCTGACTGACAATGATCAATTGTTAACTTTGACAGATTGATGTTTTCCCAGGTATCTCCCAGCCACTATTTCGTCAGTACGGCATGATTAGTCAGTTAGTCACCGTGAACCAACGATTGTGATTGGTTAGATGTGGAGTGGTATGAGTAGGACGTACAATAATTGGACAATTAGCTGGGAGAGGCAAAGTCACCAAGTGGAAGGCTAGCTCCTTGGCTCGAGGGTCAACAAGTTCCCATTCAGTTAGACATGCTTTGCTTCGTCCACTGCCAACCTGTTTCTCAGGATCTAACTGAGGGGATGACCCGTGATCGATGAACTGGTCCTGACAACAGACAGTACATTACCCCGTCAATGCCTACTAAAACTTGTCAAAAATTGCCGCACGTTGACCCACAGGCAATATACAAGTTAGGCATGCCTCGTCAACATAGGCGGCCTGTCTTCCAAGAAAAATGCCATGGCTCCCGGGAACCAAACGAGCTGGAAGAAATGCCTGCCCGGGTACAGGTTGTCTGCGTTTTTGTCATTGTTCTTTCAAGCAAGAACGCTGCAACGTAGAAAGTACGAAGTTCAACATAACTTCGTGCATGGCATCTGAATGTACACTGTTTGCGCCCGTCTCCTCCACGAAATCAATATCTTTAAGTATAGTCATACTCAGCGATAATATATTCTTTCAGACTACTTCGTGAGTTATAGATCTAATCGTTGATGTTGAATTAAAGTCTTTTTAGAGTTGTTATATATCTTCTATTACGGTTGCAACATGACCCCTGAGTGGCCCAACAGTACTCTCCAAGCAGAGGTTGCGGGGGAATGATCGTTAGCTTTTTATGTATGGCCTTTTTTTTGTCGCTAATCTCACCACCAAAAAGCTCATCTACTCTCAGCTTTGTGACAATGACATTGTAACATCTTCATCTTGGGTGTCACACACAGTGGGTTTAAGGGTACAAGTCTAAATATGACTAGTAAATGGCCATCTTTGGCCCTGTAGAACAGAATAGGTGGTATGAGCCACTATTTGCTCACACCACTACATTTGACCAATCACAATCTTTGATGATATTACGTTTGCGCCAATCTATTCCACCACACCCAGTTCTTCTATATAGTTGGAGAGTGGACAGTGGACTTACACATCCGACTTCGCTTTACCAACAACATTGAACATACCTGTAAGTACCTGTTTTTACCTGTTACTGTTTTCGTCTGTTAAAGTGAAAAACTATGATCAACTGCTGCTGAAAATGCCGGAAACGCCAACTTTGTTAGATGTAAACATTTTTGAGGAGACCAACCAGGAATTCTGCGTGTGCATTTTTAAACGCGGCCTGCTGTGTCTTGCCTAGTCTGTGCTACATGTATACTTTCAGTTATATCACAGCTAAAGACAGCCTAACCGTGTTTTTCTAACGCTATTGTAGAAATTTTAGCTGTTTTGTCAGCTCGTCATTTACCCCCTCCCCTCCGTCTGAACGATGGCCAGGTTTCTCGTTAATGTTACAATTAAAACCTTTCTGTTCAAGTTGAATACTTGATACAGAAAGTGTCTATGGAATCATACCTTTTTTCGGTACATTTTAATATGAAAATGACTGGTTTCTAAACAGGGTTGCGACTTTGACTAACTGCCAACCACTTTGCTTACGAGTAGCTGACCCAACCGTAGTCTTGAGAAGGTCTGGAGGTCACGGCGGCTGTGTGTGGCATGGGCTTAGCGTGCGCACTTCTGCTCTGTTGGGCCACCCAGACGTCGTGTTATAACCGTAGTAGAAGATACATACCAACTCTTAAAAAAACTTACATTCAACATCAACGATTAGATCTATGACTGACGAAGTAGTGTGAAAGAATAGGCTATTGTTGGCCAGGTATCGCTGAGTATCACTAAACTTAAAAACATTGATTTTGGGGGGCAGACGGGCCCAAAACATTCAGATGCTATGCACTAAGTTATGTTCGTGCTTTCTACATTGCAGCGTTCTTGCTTGAAAGAACAATGACAAAAACGCACAGACAGCTTGTACTTGGCCGCGCGGGCAGATATTTCTTCCAGTTCGTTTGGTGCCCGGGTGCCCCGGAGACATTCTTGATAGACAGACCGTCATTGTTGACGAGGCATTCAAACTTGTATATAGACATCAAGGAGAAAAAATGGTACGATCATACTAAAACAAGAAGACTAAAAGTAATTATATATACTCAGCGTTTGGAACATTTAACCGTCCACTATCTTATTTGTGTCATCGGCACGTTCAAAACTTGAACATTTCGTCAGTATAGACTATAGTAATCATTATTTGACGCCATGGCTACACACCCAAAATAAAAGGGTGCGTTGCCTTTGAGTCAGCGTGCGGCAATTTCTGCCAGGTTTAAGTAGGCAACGACGGCGTGATGTACAGGGATCATGCCAGTCTGTTGTCAGGGCTAGTTCACGGGCCATCCCCTCAGTTAGACCCTGAGCATCATGTTTGCAGTGGACGAAGCAAAGCATGTCTATCTGAATGGGAACTTGTTGACCCTCGAGCCAAGAAGCTAGCCTGACGACTTGGTGACTTTGCCTCTCCCAGCTAATTGTCCAATTACTGTACGTCCTACTCATACCACTCCACATCTAACCAAT